GGGGATGACGCAGAGGTCGCAATGGCCAACCATTGGATCTATGCACCTGTGCAGGAAGGAGTCTTCACTGTGGATGCCGACCGCCACGGTGTCAACGAGTTCATTCAGACAGCCCTGCATGCACGCATTGCATACCTCACAAAGCACAAGCAGCAGCTGCAGTTGTGCCGGTATCTCAAAGCCAGGTTGCACGATTGGGTCGGACAACCCGACGTGCAGCGCCCGCCCGCTGCATTTCTGTCATACTTTGGTTTTAAAGATATGGCCCAAGCCATCAGGACATCGACCATGGGTGGTATGGCCTGCGCTGCTGTATCGGGCGACGTGTCAATGGTGCGAGCACTTGCAGACGCTAAGGCCTCGGTCAACACTTGCGGCCGAGTTTGCCGCTCGATGTTGTCTGTCGGCGTGCTGGACTACCCACCCATGCATCTTGCCTTGCAACGTGGTGCCCGGGGTCATGCTGTGGTGCTGGAGTTGTTGCGCCAGAGAGCAAGCCCCAACTCAACGAGTGGAGAGGGTAACCCGTGCCTTGGGACTTGCCCTGATGTCGCTTCCGTTGAGATGCTGGTGCGCCATGGTGCGGATGTGAACTTGCGAGTTGGAAGGGTGTGGAACACCCCTATAGCCTATGCTTGCGCCAAGTTGGCACCTTTGGAAGTTACCAAGAAGCTGGTCGAACTGAAGGCGGATGTCAACTTGTCCGTGACGCCCCTTTCTACCTTGGCCATGTTTAGCCGATTTGTGCCCAACCTGGCCACGAGCACTGCAGACGTCTTGCTCCAGGCACGTGCAGACGTCAACCAGCCCGAGCATCTCATGGGGTTTTACAGGGCCTTGGAGATTGCGGGCAGAGTGCGGTTATGTTTCGGAAGCCGAAGCAACTTAAGCTATGTTTTCGGGGAGGGCAGCACGACACCCCTCGGCTGGGCAGCTACTTCAGACAACGCCGCACTAGCGGAGCTCCTCTTGTCTGCCAAGGCTGATCCAGATATTCCCAACCGTCGAGGCCACACTCCCAGACAACTGGCAGCACGCTTTCGCCGCGTTCGCAGCCTCTTCGCATGTGCCGGACCCGGTGCATCGGTCCAGGGCGTCCCTGCAAAGGGTGCCATGAAGCTTCCCCAGTGTCCGCAGCTCGAAGATGACGAAGCCGATGACGTTATTTCTTTATGAAGGAAGCATGTGCTCCGAGTTGATGCGGGGTTGGCTATTCTCAATGGGCGCGAAAACATTCATGTATCTCTACCACTCACATGTCAACTAAATTTTCATTCTTATAGGGCTCCCAAATCCCCCGAAAGCTTACACGACATCTGGCTCCTAGAAGTCTCGGCTGGAGGCCGCTTGGCACGGGAGGTTGCGTGGAAGGCAGCACCATGCAGTTGCCCTGCCCGTGCGCAAATGTAGAAACCCTTTTTGGGGTCCTTTTTGGAAAGGGTCCGCGAACAAGCTGTAATGGACTACTTGAGCGGGGATCCCAGTTTAGGACCGCTAGGGCCTTCCGAAAAAAGCTTCCTGAATCAGAGCTTCGGAGCGCATGCTTGCCAAGTTTTGAAGATCCGCCACCAGGTTCTCTGAAGAGGCATGTAAGAGGGATGAGGGTTTAGGGCCTTTTAGAGTTTAGGGTTTAGGATGAAGTGCTGGCTTGGTTTGAAGCCAAGAACCTGTTGTTGGGTTGAGGGCTTAGTAGGGGTAAGTATACTAGCTGTACCAGCTGTACTTGGCCCGAGTCAGGGTACTTATAACCCATGTTAGTGTTCTTATAACCCTAATCTTTATCCAACTAAGGGGCCCGTTTGGGGAGGAAGAACCCTACATCTGCTCAAGTGAACCCAACCTTAATCCCTACACCTTTTAAGGTTCAGTCCCCAAGGCAAGGCAGAAAGCCGTGCCCTCCAGCTGCGTCGTCCAAAGGCGGCATCCTGGAAAGGGAACTGTAGGGTCTAGGGTCTCAAAGAGCCTCATGACAGGGGAGAGTTTTCAGTATCCCTCTTAGCAGATGTAGTTTTGGTGCAGCGGCGCTAGAATGGCGAGGCGCACTGATGATCTGGAAAATTCCAGTTGGTTGGGCTGAAGCCGAAAACAAAGGCCTCACGAAATGTCAACCTTGGGCAAAAACCAATTTAGGGTAGTTATAACCCATTTGTAGGGTTCTTATAGCCCTACTCTTTTTCTAATTAAGGGGCGCCCGTTTAGGGATGAAGGACCCTACATCTGCCCAAGTGAAACGCTTGTCTCGTGAAGTCAACGCAGGCGCACCCGATACGGGAGTTTGAGGTGCGGTGTCAGGACTCAAGATTTGTCTCGACATCTGACTGAAGACCGGCCAGTCGAACAGTTTTGAAGCCAGTCGAGGGGTCCACTGGGGTTTTTCAAGCCAGTCGACTGGTCCTCTCGGATTTTGTGAAGACCCTTTGGGAGGATCAACGCTGACTACGTTCTTTTTGGTTTCTCCGAAAAAGCCGGGCATACACGCTGCACGGCCTTCTTCTGACACCAAACAACATTTAATGATGGGCGCTCTGACCCCCCTAAGACCGCAACACTTGAACACCACCAGTGTGCAAATAGTGGGGTAGAATTTTTGCTGAAAATACTCGTTCTATGAAGGTATGAGTACCATAAACCCAGCCCTAAGCCGTAAACCTTTTCAGGTTCATTTGGGGGTTTACGAAAATAGGGGACCCTAAAATAGCACCTCAACTTTCGGAAACCCCTTCTCAGTCCCCGAGGCAAGGCAGAGAGCCGTAGCCTGGGAGTTTCTTAATTTGTGCGAATCCAAATGCCGCGGTTGCTCGGTTGTACAGCTGCACAGACGTGTGGGCGGTTTTCAAGCTGTTTGTTCGGGCTCATGGAAGTGTAGGAGGGCCTGGGAACGCGGAAACTTGCAAAACCGGCCGCATTAGGGCATCCCTGCTCGTACCAGAGACCCAAGACTTCATTTGCCAGAGTTCTCTGCTGAACCATGCAAAAGGCCGGGGGCGCGGCGTGAAACAAAACATGTGCTTTGCGATGTTTCACGGAGCAACGTGTGAACATGCGAAGGCAGGTCAGTCCTCATGCTCATTCTTTGCAGATGTCACTCCTCATTCGCATCCTTCGCAGGGTCACCGACGACTTCTTCCCAGATGATGCAGCGCCACAGGCATGCCACACATGCGCATGCGCCTTCAGCGGCTTGTTCCTGTCTGAGCTCTTCATCGGTGACTGGGACATGTTTCACAGCAAGCATCCAGTGAGATGTGTCAGATCGCCCTGGTGAGCATGATGTCGCGCTTTTGCGGGAGCGCTGGCCACGCCGGATGGCGAGCTCGTGCTTTGTGACGGGCCTGCACGGCCAACCGGTGATTGCTTCTTCCGCGACCTTCAGAAGGACGGCAGGACCAAACGCTAAACCCTAAACCCTAAACCCTAAACCGCAGCAGCTCAACACAAGGAAGGAGTTCATGGAAAACAAGGCGTGAGGGTTGCTGCTTGGATTGAGTTTGGACGTGGAGCTTTAGACTATCCAAAGAGCCGCAAAGTAGGGTTGTACCCGGAAAGTTCGATACCCCTTATTGAGTGTACTCTTAAGAATATCATGAGGATCCTAAGCTCGGCGCTTCTCTGCATTCTGGTCCTACCCTTCATCTCGGGCTGCGAACACTGGGAACCCAAAAAGGGATGATTTTGAGAACCCCCTGAACCCTTAACAGGTCTATTGCTTGCTGAAGGTAAGGTGTCTTGGGTTTCAGGGTCAGCTGGTCTTTTAAGGTTTGGGGGACACAAAGCGCGAGAGAAAGGATCACCTGGAGTCAGCCAAAATGTGGGTTAGGGTTTAGGGGTTAGATTCCCTCATGAAAGGGGGCAGCACAATGTCAACTGACCACCTCTCCAGATTGATGCTGTCAGACCCTGACACCCTCAATGTTGCACAATTTGGGCAAGGCTTCTGGAGGACTTCGTCGGGTGTCTTCCAAAAAACACAGTTACACAGTTACACAAGCACTCCCAGTATTTGAACGCTCTGAAGTGCCTTGAAGTGCTTGTCATGGCCGGAGACAGGACATGGCGCTGAGCGGGTCTTTTGCACGACCTACAAAAGCAGCTCGGATGCTTTTTGGTTTCCGGAGAACTTGTGGTTTAGCTGTCAGGATACGTCTTGATTGGTGGGGGGGTGTCCCTCTATGGGGCCACCATTTTCGGAGGTGCCTAGAGTAAGGATTGCTTTTTCTGGGGGTGGGGGGGTGGGTGGGGGGGGGGGGGTGGTATCGTATTGGGGATCCGTAATTTGATTTGGCAACTGCCCATTTGTAGAGAGGCACCAGGAGTAAGGGGTTGTTCTGCTTCGGGGCTGAGGGCTTATGAACTTATACGCAGAACATGCTAACGGATCCCCATGTTTATATATTTACAAGCAACCACAAATATACGTATGTACATACTGTATATGCCTATATGTTTATGTAAATGTAAATGAAACTGTACATGTAAATGTATATGTATAAAGACCCAACAGAGCCTCTACTGAAGAGCACCCCGCAGGCACAGTGGGCGTTGCAGACTGGCGAGACCAAATTGCATCCGCATCAGCTGCGTGGAGATCATGGGAGGAGGTTCGGGTCTTAGGGTTCAGGGTTTAGGGTTTTATTATCGCTTTTTGACGAAGAAGCACCTGAATCCTGGATTCGCAAGGCTTTCAATTATAGCCACGAGTGCTAGGGTCGGAGAGTGTTGCTGAGACTTTCCGGCCAGGACATCATAGCCCGGAGATGCGCCATCGACGCTGGTGCCTCCTGAGCAGGTGCGAAAGGGTTCCGGTGAAGTGAGAGGTAGCGCCTGTAAGACGTAAGGCTCCTTGTGTGGGTTGTGTGGATTGGATCCTGTTGGATCCTGTTTAGCTCTTCCGAAAGCTGCATCACCATGACGGCCGTGTCCCAGACGCCGGTTCCGCAAGTTGTTTCAGAAGGCTCAGGAGCACCGGGAGCGAAACTTTGTGCGTGGCGTAAGCCCTAGTCATGGCCATGCTGAGACGCTGCATCAGTGAAATGTCTGCTGTTGACTATGAGGAGTCGGAGCATCTACAGCTGCAAGCCATGTGGGTAGTCAGCATAGCAGACGTCTTGCAGATATCTGGGCCACCCACAGTGCACGAAGAGCTCCGTGCTGCGGGAAAGCTTGTCAAACACCGTCCGGGCATGTACTGTGTCTTTGTGTCTCACCAGTGGCTCGGACGGCACCATCCAGATGAAGAAGGCAAGCAGTTCCAGGTGCTGCAGCAGACGTTGCGAGGCTTCATCGAGGGCACATTGCCGGGTCAGTCAGACATGGTAACGCAAGCGAATTTGGGAGATCGTGGCTTCTCTCCCCAGGAGCGGAGTGCGCTAGCCAAGGGGTATCTGTGGTTAGATTGGTTCAGCATCCCGCAGCAGCGCGGGAGAACCAAAGATCGACGCTCTTCGGTGATTTCCATCCCATCCTACGTCGACTCCTGCAACATCTTCCTTGCTTTGGTCCCTCCACTGAGGCATTCGGACTCAGGAAAGCTTTGCGATTACGAGTCGTGGCTGGAGCGGGGTTGGTGCAGGGCCGCTGGAGCTGATTTGGAGATTTTTTCTTTCCCCACACCTTTCTGTGGGGTTCTGGTTTTTGAGCTGTATGGCTCTTAACGGCCCTAGTTAAGATACCTTACGTAGCCCACCAGCAGTCCCCCCCCCAAATCCTCAGGCCGAGCTTTGGTGCGCCCAGCTGTCCAACAAAGCAGACTTGCCCATGGTGGTGGTGCACGCAGGGGATGACGCAGAGGTCGCAATGGCCAACCATTGGATCTATGCACCTGTGCAGGAAGGAGTCTTCACTGTGGATGCCGACCGCCACGGTGTCAACGAGTTCATTCAGACAGCCTTGCATGCACGCATTGCATACCTCACAAAGCACAAGCAGCAGCTGGAGTTGTGCCGGTATCTCAAAGCCAGGTTGCACGATTGGGTCGGACAACCCGACGTGCAGCGCCCGCCCGCTGCGTTTCTGTCCTACTTTGGGTTTAAAGATATGGCCCAAGCCATCAGGACATCGACCATGGGTGGTATGGCCTGCGCTGCTGTATCGGGCGACGTGTCAATGGTGCGAGCACTTGCAGACGCTAAGGCCTCTGTCAACACTTGCGGCCGAGTTTGCCGCTCGATGTTATCTGTCGGCGTGCTGGACTACCCACCCGTGCATCTTGCCTTGCAACGTGGTGCCCGGGGTCATGCTGTGGTGCTTGAGTTGTTGCGCCAGAGAGCAAGCCCCAACTCAACGAGTGGAGCGGGTCTCCCGTGCCTTGGGACTTGCCGTGATGTCGCTTCCGTTGAGATGCTGGTGCGCCATGGTGCGGATGTGAACTTGCGAGTTGGAAAGGTGTGGAACACCCCTATAGCCTATGCTTGCGCCAAGTTGGCACCTTTGGAAGTTACCAAGAAGCTGGTCGAACTGAAGGCGGATGTCAACTTGTCCGTGACGCCCCTTTCGACCTTGGCCATGTTTAGCCGATGTGTGCCCAACCTGGCCAGGAGCACTGCAGACGTCTTGCTCCAGGCACGTGCAGACGTCAACCAGCCCGAGCGTCTCACGGGGCTTTACAGGGCCTTGGAGATTGCGGGCAGAGTGCGATTATGTTTCGGAAGCCGAAGCAACTTAAGCTATGTTTTCGGGGAGGGCAGCACGACACCCCTCGGCTGGGCAGCTACTTCAGACAACGCCGCACTAGTGGAGCTCCTCTTGTCTGCCAAGGCTGATCCAGATATTCCCAACCGTCGAGGCCACACTCCCAGACAGCTGGCAGCACGCTTTCGCCGCGTTCGCAGCCTCTTCGCATGCGCCGGACCCGGTGCAGTGGTCCAGGGCGTTCCTGCAAAGGGTGCCATGAAGCTTCCCCAGTGTCCGCGGCTCGAAGATGACGATGCCGATGACGTCATGTCTTTTTGAAGGAAGCATGTGCTCCGAGTTGATGCGGGGTTGGCTATTCTCAATGGGCGCGAACACATTCATGTATCTCTGGGCTCCCGCATCCCCCGAAAGCTTAAACGACATCTGCCTTGTAGAAGTCTTGGCTGGAGGGGGGTTGCGTAGCACGATGCAGTTGCCCTGCCCGTGCGCAAATGTAGAAACCCTTTTTGGGGTCCTTTTTGGAAAGGGTCCGCGAACAAGCTGTAATGGACCACTTGAGCGGGGATCCTAGTTTAGGACCACTAAGGCCTTCCGAAAAACACTTCCTGAATCAGAGCTTCGGAGCGCATGCTTTCCAAGTTTTGAAGATCCGCCACCAGATTCTCTGAAGCGGCATGTAAGAGGGATGAGGGTTTAGGGCCTTTTAGAGTTTAGGGTTTAGGATGAAGTGCTGGCTTGGTTTGAAGCTTGTGGCGGTAGGGTCTCGAATCCCTGCTCCAAGCCTCAAGAACCTGTTGTTGGGTTTAGGGTTTAGTAGGGGTAAGTAGACTAGCTGCACGAGCTGTACTTGGCCCGAGTCAGGGTACTTATAACCCATGTTAGTGTTCTTATAACCCTACTCTTTATCCAACTAAGGGGCCCGTTTAGGGAGGAAGAACCCTGCATCTGCTCAAGTGAACCCAACCTTAATCCCTCCACCTTTTAAGGTTCAGTCCCCAAGGCAAGGCAGAAAGCCGTGCCCTCCAGCTGCGTCGTCCAAAGGCGGCATCCTGGAAAGGGAACTGTAGGGTCTAGGGTCTCAAAGAGCCTCAGGACAAGGGAGAGTTTTTAGATGTTTTTAGTATCTCTCTCTTAGCAGATGTAGTTTTGGTGCAGCGGCGCTAGAATGGCGAGGCGCACTGATGATCTGGAAAATTCCAGGACGGTTGGGCTGAAGCCGAAAACAAAGGCCTCACGAAATGGCAACCTTGGGCAAAAGAAAAATTTCGGGTAGTTATAACCCATGTGTAGGGTTCTTATAGCCCTACTCATATCTGCTCAAGTGAAACGATTGTCTCGTGAAGTCAACGCAGGCGCATCCGATACGGGTGTTTGAGGTGCGGTGTCAGGACTCAAGATTTGTCTCGACATCTGACTGAAGACCGGCCAGTCGAACAGTTTTGAAGCCAGTCGAGGGGTCCACTGGGGGTTTAAAGCCAGTCGACTGGTCCTCTCGGATTTTGTGAAGACCCTTTTGGGAGGATCAACGTTCTTTTTGGACCACTTGAGCGGGGATCCTAGTTTAGGACCACTAAGGCCTTCCGAAAAACACTTCCTGAATCAGAGCTTCGGAGCGCATGCTTTCCAAGTTTTGAAGATCCGCCACCAGATTCTCTGAAGCGGCATGTAAGAGGGATGAGGGTTTAGGGCCTTTTAGAGTTTAGGGTTTAGGATGAAGTGCTGGCTTGGTTTGAAGCTTGTGGCGGTAGGGTCTCGAATCCCTGCTCCAAGCCTCAAGAACCTGTTGTTGGGTTTAGGGTTTAGTAGGGGTAAGTAGACTAGCTGCACGAGCTGTACTTGGCCCGAGTCAGGGTACTTATAACCCATGTTAGTGTTCTTATAACCCTACTCTTTATCCAACTAAGGGGCCCGTTTAGGGAGGAAGAACCCTGCATCTGCTCAAGTGAACCCAACCTTAATCCCTCCACCTTTTAAGGTTCAGTCCCCAAGGCAAGGCAGAAAGCCGTGCCCTCCAGCTGCGTCGTCCAAAGGCGGCATCCTGGAAAGGGAACTGTAGGGTCTAGGGTCTCAAAGAGCCTCAGGACAAGGGAGAGTTTTTAGATGTTTTTAGTATCTCTCTCTTAGCAGATGTAGTTTTGGTGCAGCGGCGCTAGAATGGCGAGGCGCACTGATGATCTGGAAAATTCCAGGACGGTTGGGCTGAAGCCGAAAACAAAGGCCTCACGAAATGGCAACCTTGGGCAAAAGAAAAATTTCGGGTAGTTATAACCCATGTGTAGGGTTCTTATAGCCCTACTCATATCTGCTCAAGTGAAACGATTGTCTCGTGAAGTCAACGCAGGCGCATCCGATACGGGTGTTTGAGGTGCGGTGTCAGGACTCAAGATTTGTCTCGACATCTGACTGAAGACCGGCCAGTCGAACAGTTTTGAAGCCAGTCGAGGGGTCCACTGGGGGTTTAAAGCCAGTCGACTGGTCCTCTCGGATTTTGTGAAGACCCTTTGGGAGGATCAACGTTCTTTTTGGTTTCTCCCAGAAAGCCGGGCATACACGCTGCACGGCCTTCTTCTGACACCAAACAACATTTAAGGATGGGCGCTCTGACCCCCCTAAGACCGCAACACTTGAACACCACCAATATGCAAATGGTGGGGTAGAACTTTTGCTGAAAATGCTCGTTCTATGAAGGTATGAGTACCATAAACCCAGCCCTAATCCGTAAACTTTTTCAGGTTCATTTGGGGGTTTACGAAAATAGGGGACCCTAAAATAGCACCTCTAATTTCGGAAACCCCTTCTCAGTCCCTGAGGCAAGGCAAAGAGCCGCTAGCCTGGGAGTTTCTTAATTTGTGCGCGGACGCGGTGTTGCGAATCCAAATGCCGCGGTTGCTCGGGTGTACAGCTGCACAGACGTGTGGGCGGTTTTCAAGCCGTTTGTTCTGGGCTCATGGAAGTGTAGGAGGGCCTGGGAACGCGGAAACTTGCCAAACCGGCCGCATTAGGACATCCTTGCTCGGACCAAAGACCCAAGACTTCATTTGCCAGAGTTCTTTGCTGAACCATGCAAAAGGCCGGCGCGGCGTGAAACATGTGCTTTGCGATGTTTCACGGAGCAAAGTGTGAACATGTGAAGGCAGGACAGTCCTCATGCTCATTCTTTGCAGATGTCACTCCTCATTCGCATCCTTCGCAGGGTCACCGACGACTTCTTCCCAGATGATGCAGCGCCACAGGCATGCCACACATGCGCATGCGCCTTCAGCGGCTTGTTCTTGTCTGAGCTCTTCATCGGTGACTGGGACGTGTTTCACAGCAAGCATCCATCCAGTGAGATGTGTTAGATCGCCCTGGTGAGCATGATGTCGCGCTTTTGCGGGAGAGCTGGCCACGCCGGATGGCGAGCTCGTGCTTTGTGACGGGCCTGCACGGCCTGTGATTGCCTCTTCCGTGACCCTCAGAAGGACGGCAGGACCAAACACTAAACCCTAAACCCAAAACCGCAGCTCAACACAAGGAACGAATTCAGGGAAAACAAGGCGTGAGGGTTGCTGCTTTGATTGAGTTTGGACATGGAGCTTTAGACTATCCAAAGAGCCGCAAAGTAGGGTTGTACCCGGAAAGTTCGATACCCCTTATTGAGTGTACTCTTAAGAATATCATGAGGATCCTAGGCTCGGCGCTTCTCTGCATTCTGGTCCTACCCTTCATCTCGGGCTGCGAACACTGGGAACCCAAAAAGGGATGATTTTGAGAACCCCCTGAACCCTTAACAGGTCTATTGCTTGCTGAAGGTAAGGTGTCTTGGGTTTCAGGGTCAGCTGGTCTTTTAAGGTTTGGGGGACACAAAGCGCGAGAGAAAGGATCACCTGGAGTCAGCCAAAATGTGGGTTAGGGTTTAGGGGTTAGATTCCCTCATGAAAGGGGGCAGCACAATGTCAACTGACCACCTCTCCAGATTGATGCTGTCAGACCCTGACACCCTCAATGTTGCACAATTTGGGCAAGGCTTCTGGAGGACTTCGTCGGGTGTCTTCCAAAAAACACAGTTACACAGTTACACAAGCACTCCCAGTATTTGAACGCTCTGAAGTGCCTTGAAGTGCTTGTCATGGCCGGAGACAGGACATGGCGCTGAGCGGGTCTTTTGCACGACCTACAAAAGCAGCTCGGATGCTTTTTGGTTTCCGGAGAACTTGTGGTTTAGCTGTCAGGATACGTCTTGATTGGTGGGGGGGTGTCCCTCTATGGGGCCACCATTTTCGGAGGTGCCTAGAGTAAGGATTGCTTTTTCTGGGGGTGGGGGGGTGGGTGAGGAGGGGGGGTGGTATCGTCTTGGGGATCCGTAATTTGACTTGGCAACTACCCATTTGTAGAGAGGCACCAGGAGTAATGCTACGGGGCTGAGGGCTTATGAACTTATAAGCAGAACATGCTAACGGATCCCCATGTTTATATATTTACAAGCAACCACAAATATACGTATGCACATACTGTATATATGCCTATATGTTTATGTAAGTGTAAATGTAACTGTACATGTAAATGATTCTGTACATGTATAAGACCCAACAGAGCCTTTACTGAAGAGCACCCCGCAGGCACCGTGGGCGTTGCAGACTGGCGAGACCAACTTGCATCGGCATCAGCTGCGTGGAGTTGATGGAAGGAGGTTCGGGTCTTAGGGTTCAGGGTTTAGGGTTTTATTATCGCTTTTTGACGAAGAAGTACCTGAATCCTGGATTCGCAAGGCTTTCAATCGTAGCCACGAGTGCTAGGGTCTGAGAGTGTTCCTGAGACTTTCCGGCCAGGACAGCATAGCCCGGATGCACAAAGGGTTCTCTTATGCCCTCTCAACCCTGAAGACATAGCCCCTACAGGGATTTGGGTTCCCGAAACCCTGAGCCCGAGCTGGCCCTAGCAGGTTGGGCTCTTGGTTATGAGGGTCGAACTTGCCCAGTGGCCCAAAAGTCCCAGGAAGTACTGATTACTGGCAAGCCCGGTACATGGACCCTTAATTGGGGGATTGAAGCTCTCCCCGCGAGTTGAAGCACGACGCTGAATGATCTGCAAGGCAGCCCCCGCCATCGACGCTGGTGCCTCCTGAGCAGGTGCGAAAGGGTTCCGGTGAAGTGAGAGGCATCGCCTGTAAGACGTAAGGCTCCTTGTGTGGATTGTGTGGATTGGATCCTGTTGGATCCTGTTTCTTCCGAAAGCTGCATCACCATGACGGCCGTGTCCCAGACGCCGGTTCCGCAAGTTGTTTCAGAAGGCTCAGGAGCACCGGGAGCGAAACTTTGTGCGTGGCGCGAGCCCTAGTCATGGCCATGCTGAGACGCTGCATCAGTGAAATGTCTGCTGTTGACTATGAGGAGTCGGAGCATCTACAGCTGCAAGCCATGTGGGTAGTCAGCATAGCAGATGTGTTGCAGATATGTGGGCCACCCACAGTGCACGAAGAGCTCCGTGCTGCGGGAAAGCTTGTCAAACACCGTCCGGGCATGTACTGTGTCTTTGTGTCTCACCAGTGGCTCGGACGGCACCATCCAGATGCAGAGGGCAAGCAGTTCCAGGTGCTGCAGCAGACGTTGCGAGGCTTCATCGAGGGCACATTGCCGGGTCAGTCAGACATGGTAACGCAATCCCTTTTGGGAGATCGTGCCTTCTCTCGCCAGGAGCGGAGTGCGCTAGCCCAGGGGTATCTGTGGTTAGATTGGTTCAGCATCCCGCAGCAGCGCGGGAGAACCAAAGATCGACGCTCCTCGGTGATCTCCATCCCATCCTACGTCGACTCCTGCAACATCTTCCTTGCTTTGGTCCCTCCACTGAGGCATTCGGAGTCAGGAAAGCTTTGCGATTACGAGTCGTGGCTGGAGCGGGGTTGGTGCAGGGCCGCTGGAGCTGATTTGGAGAGTTTTTCTTTCCCGACATCACTCTGTGGGGTTCTGGTTTTTGAGCTGTATGGCTCTTAACGGCCCTAGTAATTTCCACCCCTTTTCCTAAGATACCCTACGTAGCCCACCAGCAGTCCCCCCCCAAATCCTCAGGCCGAGCTTTGGTGCGCCCAGCTGTCCAACAAAGCAGACTTGCCCATGGTGGTGGTGCACGCAGGGGATGACGCAGAGGTCGCAATGGCCAACCATTGGATCTATGCACCTGTGCAGGAAGGAGTCTTCACTGTGGATGCCGACCGCCACGGTGTCAACGAGTTCATTCAGACAGCCCTGCATGCACGCATTGCATACCTTACAAAGCACAAGCAGCAGCTGGAGTTGTGCCGGTATCTCAAAGCCAGGTTGCACGATTGGGTCGGACAACCCGACGCGCAGCGCCCGCCCGCTGCATTTCTGTCCTACTTTGGGTTTAAAGATATGGCCCAAGCCATCAGGACATCGACCATGGGTGGTATGGCCTGCGCTGCTGTATCGGGCGATGTGTCAATGGTGCGAGCACTTGCAGACGCTAAGGCCTCTGTCAACACTTGCGGCCGAGTTTGCCGCTCGATGTTGTCTGTCGGTGTGATGGACTACCCACCCGTGCATCTTGCCTTGCAACGTGGTGCCCGGGGTCATGCTGTGGTGCTTGAGTTGTTGCGCCAGAGAGCAAGCCCCAACTCAACGAGTGGATTGGGTCTCCCGTGCCTTGGGACTTGCCGTGATGTCGCTTCCGTTGAGATGCTGGTGCACCACGGTGCGGATGTGAACTTGCGAGTTGGAAAGGTGTGGAACACCCCTATAGCCTATGCTTGCGGCAAGTTGGCACCTTTGGAAGTTACCAAGAAGCTGGTCGAACTGAAGGCGGATGTCAACTTGTCCGTGACGCCCCTTTCGACCTTGGCCATATTTAGCCGAGTTGTGCCCAACCTGGCCACGAGCACTGCAGACGTTTTGCTCCAGGCGCGTGCAGACTTCAACCAGCCCGAGCGACTCATGGGCCATTACAGGGCGTTGGAGATTGCGGGCAGAGTGCAATTATGTTTCGGAAGCCGAAGCAACTTAAGCTATGTTTTCGGGGAGGGCAGCACGACACCCCTCGGCTGGGCAGCTACTTCAGACAACGCCGCACTAGTGGAGCTCCTCTTGTCTGCCAAGGCTGATCCAGATATTCCCAATTGTCGAGGCCACACTCCCAGACAACTGGCAGCACGCTTTCGCCGCGTTCGCAGCCTCTTCGCATCCGCCGGATCCAGTGCAGTGGTCCAGGGCGTCCCTGCAAAGGGTGCCATGAAGCTTCCCCAGTGTCTGCAGCTCGAGGATGACGATGCTGCTGACATCATTTCTTTTTGAAGGAAGCATGTGCTCCGAGTTGATGCGGGGTATTGCGGGGTTGGCTATTCTCAATGGGCGCGAACACATTCATGCATCTCTACAGTGTGGGGCCCCTTAGTTATAAATTCATTTATAACCTCTATAAATCAAGTTATAATTTTCCTAACATAAATATAAAGTTGTTAAGTTCATGGTTGAGTTATACATTATTTATTGAATCTAGAAGTTAGTTACAAGTGTTTTGTAACCAACTTATAAGTAACTTATACAACTTAGCTTTAAAAAACATTGTTTTCATCAGATCCATGCTTGTGATTGTCGAATACAGGATTTTGCAAGGTTTAGGGCCTGAACGAATGATGTTTTAGAGGTTTTTGTTGTCTCGAGGAGTTTACCTCTGGCTTGCGACCCCGTTTACTCCCCTTTTTGCTCTTTGTCATGGCGACACGCGCGGCCCTTCAAGACTGGACCACTTTGACTAGTTTCTGTCACGTGACAACCCCGAAGCAGTCCAGAGAACCTCTGCTGGCGCGAGCTGGAGAAATGGTCGAACGTTCGGTAAACATTCGGGACACATCCGGGACACACGAGCGGACACATGGGCCAGAAGAGGGCAACATACTGGACAACACCCAACACACTCCTACACAATGGGGCGGACACACCGCACATTAGGGACATGCCCAAGATCAGGATGCGGACACATGCCAAAACCACATCCGGGACACATCCTGGTTACAACTGATGCGCATCTCAAACGCGCATCAGAATATTTGTAGGAGATGAAAATAAGCAAGCGAGCTAAAACTGTTGTATCATTTATGACTTGCAGCCGGTCTCAGCTAGACAGCTTTCGTTTCTCCGACAACAAATCCCGGCAGCTAAGCTGTGACACGAGCAGAATGGACGGGAATAGAGTGACTTGCGAGCTGTTTCAGCATCGGTTAAAGCCTGTTCTTTTAAGACATGGGCTCTGCATAGTGATTTTTTACTACAAAAACAACATTTTGTAACTTATAAATCAACTATAAGTTGGCTAACTAACTTCTCAAACTTATGTAGAAGTTAGTTATAAGTGCTTTAAGTTACATATAAGTATCTTAACTTATTTGGAACTAAGGGGCCCCACCCTGTAGCACTCATATGTCAAGTAAGTTTCATTTTTATAGGGCTCCCACATCCCCCGAAAGCTGAAAGGACATTTGGTTCCTAGACGTCTCGGCTGGAGTGGTGTTGCGTGGAAGGCAGCACCCTGCAGTTGCCCCAATGTAGAAACCATTCCTTTCGGAAAGGGTCCACGAACAAGCTGTAGTGGACTACTGTTGGACCCTAGTTGAGGACCACTATGGCTTCGGGCCTTCGGAAAAAGCTTCCAGAGCGTAGGACCTGGGTCAGAGCTTCGGAGCGCATGCTTTCCAAGTTTTGAAGATCCGCCACAAGATTCCCTGAACAGGGATGTAAGGGGGATTAGGGTTTATGGCCCTTCAAGGCCTTTTAGGGTTTAGGGTGTACAGTGCCGTCTTGGTGAAGCTTGTGGCGGTAGGGTCTCGAATCCCTGCGCAGCCCTCGCGAAGCCGAGAACTCCTGAGCCCTGCGCTCCAAGCCTCAAGAACCTGTTGGGTTTAGGGCTTAGTAGGGGTAACTAAAATAGCTGTCCGAACTGTACTTAGCCCAATTTCGGGTAGTTATAACCCATGTTAGCGTTCTTATAACCCTACTCTTTATCCAACTACGGGGCCCGTTTGGGGAGGAAGAACCTACATCTGTTCAAGTGAAACGACTGTCTTGTGAAGTCAACGCAGATCAACGCAGGCGCATCCGATGCGGGTGTTTGAGGTGCGGTGTCAGGACTCAAGATTTGAGAGTTTCGACATCTGAAGATCGGCCAGTCGAACAGTTTTGAAGCCAGTCGAGGGCTCCACTGGGGTTTAGAAGCGAGTCGAATGGTCCTCTCACATTTGGTCCAGAATGCCGATTAAGGTCTCTTTGGTTTCTCACGAAAGGCCGGGCAGACACGCTGCACGTCCTTCTTCTGAAACCAAACAACATTTAAGGATGGGCACTCTGAGTCCCCTAAGACTGCAGCACTTGAACACCACCAATATGCAAATGGTGGGGTCATGCTTTCTCAAACTACTCGTTCTATGAAGGTATGAGTACCATAAACCCAGCCCTAAACCCTAAACCTTTTAAGGTTCAGTCCCCAAGGCAAGGCAGAAAGCCGTGCCCTCCAGCTACGTCGTCCAAAGGCGGCATCCTGGAAATGGACCTACAGGGCTTAGGGTCTAAAAGAGCCTCATGACCGGGGAGAGTTTTTAGTATCTCTCTTAGCAGATGTAGTTTTGGTGCAGCGGCGCTAGAATGGCGAGGCGCACTGATGATCTGGAAAATTCCAGGACGGTTGTTTTTTGAAGCGAGTCGAATGGTCCTCTCGGATTTTGTCAAGACTCTTTGGGAGGATCAATGCTGATGAAGTTCTCTTTCGTTTCTCCCGAAAGGCCGGGCAGACACGCTGCACGTCCTTCTTCTGAAACCAAACAACATTTGAGGATGGGCACACTGAGTCCCCTAAGACTGCAGCACTTGAACACCACCAATATGCAAATGGTGGGGTCATGCTTTCTCAAACTACTCGTTCTATGAAGGTATGAGTACCAGAAAACCCAACCCTAATGCCAAAGCTTTTAAGGCTGACTGGGAGGTTTAAGAAAATCAGGGACCCTAAAATGGACCCCCAAATGGTAGGATTCCCTTATGATAAGGACCCCTAAAAGGTACCTCTAATTTCGGAAACCCCCACTCAGTCCCCGTGGCAAGGCAGAGAGCCGTAGCCTGGGAGTTTCTTAAGTTGTGCGCGGACGCGGTGTTGCGAATCCAAATGCCGCGGTTGCTCGGGTGTACAGCTGCACAGACGTGTGGGCGGTTTTCAAGCTGTTTGTTCGGGCTCATGGAAGTGTAGGAGGGTCTGGGAACGCGGAAACTTGCAAAACCGGCCGCATTAGGGCATCCCTGCTCGTACCAGAGACCCAAGACTTCATTTGCTAGAGTTCTCTGCTGAACCATGCAAAAGGCCGGGGGCGCGGCGTGAAACAAAACATGTGCTTTGCGATGTTTCACGGAGCAACGTGTGAACATGTAAAGGCAGGACAGTCCTCATGCTCATTCTTTGCAGATGTCACTCCTCATTCGCATCCTTCGCAGGGTCACCGACGACTTCTCCCCAGATGATGCAGCGCCACAGGCATGACACACATGCGCATGCGCCTTCAGCGGCTTGTTCCTGTCTGAGCTCTTCATCGGTGACTGGGACGTGTTCACAGCAAGCATCCATCCAGTGAGATGTGTCAGATCGCCCTGGTGAGCATGATGTCGCGCTTTTGCGGGAGAGCTGGCCACGCCGGATGGGGAGCACCTGCTTTGTGACGGTCCTGCACGGCCAACCTGTGATTGCCTCTTCCGTGACCCTTAGAAGGATGGCAGGACGGTCCTCAAGCTCTTCAACACGAATGGTGAAGGCAAGTTGGGAGTTCGGAGTTTTGGCCTTGTTCAACAACCAAGGCTCTTCGCGCTCCCGCAGGTGTTTTACCACGTTCCAACAGAAGGATGCTCCCTGGCAAACGTGGAGCCTTTCCGCTCTGCCTCGCCAAGCCCATGTGCAACCGGTGAATTGCTGCCTTCCAACAGTCCAACCCACTGGAGGTGTTGGTTCTGCTTGATGGCGAGCATCTTGGTCGCGTTGGGTGGGCAAATTGCTCAGAAATTCGAACTCATCAAATTCAGCCCTGTCTGGCAAATTGTCAGCATGTTGAAGAAGACAGGCGAGAGCCACGGGAAGAACGGCAACGCCAAGCACGATGACCACCTCACACTGCTGCCCCTCCGCTATGTCGTCAATCCTTCTACTTCGGCATGCGGCGGCTACATGCACTCGTCACTTTGAGTGCTGAGTCTGAAAGGAAGCTTGGACGTGGAACCTGGCTGCCACCCGCACAAACTGCAAGTGTCGCCACGACAATCTTGCAGCAAAGAGCCGCCCGAAGAAGGCTGATTTTAAAGTGACATGATGGCATTGCACTGGGTCTCGTCGGGTACAGTGCAGCTTCATGCTTGTGCTTCTCATGCTTCCTAGCTGTAGCCGTGCTTGGGCAGATTTGGCGATCTGGCTCGAAGAACAGCACCGCTGTGTCTTGCAATGGCCTCGGGGAGTATGGCCGGCAGCATCAGCTGCAAGGACGGGAGGATCACCGTCTTCAACAATCAAGGTGCTTTGCTCTTAATGGACGGCGTGTCCCCGCATCTCCACCGGGTCACTTCGGTGAAGAAGTCTGGAGTTTTAGCTCTGCGTCTGCAAGCGCCGGCAGCTTCATCCAGACATGAGGTGGGGTCTTGTTTCTGTTGCGCTGTTTATTGCTTGTTGTTTGTGAGTGTATATAGGATGCCTTGAAATTAATTATTGATGAGTGTAGGTGTCTGGGTGTGCTGTTATGGCTAGGGAAGCAAGAGTTCAAAAGCTACTTCGTGTGAGGTGGAGCTTGGTGCATGGGTCGCGTCCAAGCAGTCCACGCAGCTGGCTTGGTTGGCTGTTGCTCGCTGCAAGCTCTGGTGGATGACCCCAGAGTGGGGAACTATCAGTGAGCCCATCCCGGCAGAGACCCAAATGCTTTTGGTGCGTCTGGCAATGGAGCCAGAGGCAGAGCAAGGCACATACGTCTTCATCCTTCCCCTGGTATCGGAATTCTTCCGGTCCAGTCTCCACAGCGCCGGCAACACCCTGATGATGGTGACCGAAAGCGGCGATGCCGCAAAGCAGTCCTCGGAGGTTGATCCAGCCTTGCTGATCTCCGCGGGAGTCGATCCGTTCGAGACTATCCACAGGGGGTTCGAGGCGGCCGCACGCTTGCCAGGAGTGAACTTCACCTTGCGCGAGGAGAAGATGGTGCCCAGAAGCCTGCGCGAGTTTGGTTGGTGCACCTGGGATGCCTTCATGAACTTGTCCGAGTACCGAAGCTATGTCACGCCTGAGGGGATCATTGACGGTGTCCGGGGCTTCTCCCGAGGTGGTGTTCCGGTACGTCGCATCATCGTTGATGATGGGTGGCAGACCACGGGCGTCGATGCTCAGACCGAGCGCGAAGTTATCCTGGACCACACCGCGCATCCAGCTGAAGCTTGTGCACCCTCCTGCATAACTGCCCTAGCCAAGCAGCCCGTGAGCAAGCCGGAGGCACAGATTTTGACGAACAACCCTTGCAGCGAGTCTTGCCACAAGATCCCACGTCCAAGTGGATTAGGCCGCGTCCTCTTTGAGAAAGTGTACTCGGTCATGATTGATGGGGCCAGGACTGGCAGCACCCTGCTAAAGTGCTACCAGGGTCTGACGCAGTGCTTGCCCGCAACTTACCGCAAGACACTGGCGCGTCAGGGCCCTGATCAGGGCAAGCGCTTGCGCTCCTTCAGGGCCAACCGCACCTTCGAGCGTGAAGATGGCACGAGCATGAAGAACCTCGTGTCCAAGCTGAAGTCCGAGCTTGAGGTCCGAAGTGTTTACTGCTGGCACCACTTAGTTGGATACTGGTGTGGCCTCGAACCGCTCTCTGAGCACTTTCAGGGCCTGGACCTGCAGCGCAGAGAAGTCGCCTTCACCAAGGGCATCTCCCATGTCGAGCCCTCGATGGAGTTCAGCACCTTCAAATCCATGCAGCTTGGCATGCCTGAAGGTGATCAGGGCGCAACCAAGCTTTACGATGGCCTCCATGGCTACTTGCACGAGGCCCCCCCCCCAGCTCTCCACTTGCTTGTGTTTTCTGAGGGTGGTCATGCAGAAATGGTTGTTTGATGGGGCCTTGGCACGAGTGCTAGTGAGCCCCGTTCCTTTTGCAAGAGGCATGTGAATGTAACAACCGCTTTGATTCAACACTTGCATGGCTGTATTGCATTAGTTGGGAAACGCCTGCAAGGGGCCCGAACGGCAATTCGTCTCTCAACTTCACAGCACATAGCTTCTTCATATATAGCGGTCGCATTTTGCTAGCAACAAGCCGGGCCCCTGCGAGCATGCCCACTCTGGCCTTCCTCTCAAAACCCTAAATCCAAGCGAAGCAGAGCGAAGCACAAAGAACACAAAAGGCGGGCGTGGATGGCGTCAAAGTGGACGGGCAGTCGATTCTCTCCCAAGTCGGCCAGGGTCAGGGCGGCGGCCCCGCCGTGTCCCGCAAGTACATCTCGGCGCTGGAAGCCTCAGCGCAGAAGCACTTCAGATCTGCTGCAGAGGTCATCACATGCATGTCCCATGCCAACGACGCGCTCCTCAACTACAAGCAGGCTGCCTATTGTCGAGTCAGTGACGACTTCTTCCCAGATGACGCAGCGTCACAGGCATGTCACATTTGCTCATGCGCCTTCAACGGCCTGTTCTTGTCTGAGCTCTTCATCGGTGACTGGGACATGTTTCACAGCAAACATCCTTCCAGTGAGATGCATGCCGCAGCCCGTGCAATTTCTGGGGGGCCGGTCTACGTGTCAGACCGCCCTGGTGAGCATGATTTCGGGCTTTTGCGAGAGCTGGCTACGCCGGATGGGGAGCTCCTGCTTTGTGACGGTCCTGCACGGCCAACCCGTGATTGCCTCTTCCGTGACCCTCAGAAGGACGGCCGGACGGTCCTTAAGCTCTTCAACACGAATGGTGATGGCAAGTTGGGAGTTTTGGCATTGTTCAACATCCAAGGCTCGTCGTGGGATCGCTCCCGCAGGCGTTTTACCATGTTCCAACAGAAGGATGCTCCCTTGCAAGCGCGGGCTCGACCTCGGGACGTGGAGCCTTTCCGCTCCGCCTCGCCAAGCCCACATGCAACCGGTGAGTTTGCTGCCTTCTTGCGGTCCAAGCCTCTGGAGGTGTTGATTCTGCCTGATGGCTACCACAGCATCTTGGTGGAGTTGGGTGGGCGAACTGCTCAGAAATTCGAGCTCATCACGTTCAGCCCTATCTGGCAAATTCCCAGCAGTGAGGCCCGATTTGCAGCCGTTGGCTTCAAGAACATGATGAACCCAGGAGGAGCTGTTCAGGATCTGCAGCTCCTGCCGGATGTTGCGGAAGTCTTTGGGCGAGGAAGCGGGCACTTCGCCTTCTATGCTGACCCGCAGCCGAGTCGTGCCACCCTCCGGCTGGCTGCTGGGGGTGAGCCTACGGAACTGGTGTTGAAGACCTGCGAGAGCCACGAGAACGGCAACGCCAAGCACGATGACCACCTCACATCGCTGCCCCTGCGCTACGTCGTCATTCCCTCTACTTGGGCGGCAGATACATGGGCCCTTCACTTTGAGTGGTGAGTCGGAGTCTCTGCCCGAGCTCAAAATGACGCTCCACCATCCGCACGATGCGCGTTCTGCAGGTGAGAGGCCTGCCAGCCGCATTCTGTACAGACCAAGCCTTCCTCTTTTGTTCCCATTTTTGCACGTAATTTATACTACTCTGGGGAAGCCCAGTCAAGACCGGCCATCCATGGCAACAAAGACCATGCAATAGAATCCAGCGAGTTTGGCGAGGGCGTTCGCTGGGAAAACTTGAACAGTTTTTCCCCCACAAAGTCGCACCGTAGATCGCCATAGAGACGCTTGCTGAAACACTGGCATCCAAACCGACTTCAAGAGGTGTCCGCAGAACCGCCTGTTGGGCACACGAGTGTCCCCCCTCCCTATCCGCCTCCAACAGTGATTCGGCAAATTACGAAACCGTTCCCAGTCACGCGAGAGAGCAGAAAACAACCTGGTACTGGGTGGCGGCGGTGCGTCAACCCACGTCGCGTGAAGTCTACCCATCCCAAGGTGCGAAGCATTCCTGTAAGGTTGACCCAGTCACAAGAACGATGCATAAACGCGCATCTGGAAGGTCATGGTGCGTCTTCGGCGGCGCCGTATGAACACTTGTGCGTGGCACGAAGCACGCCACGAAAATGTCTAGCAAGAACTCAGGAGTGCGTTGTTCAATCATGTTGCCGATCTTAGCGATTTCGGTTTGAAGAGGAGCGATTCTTCGCTCCCCTTCTTGCAAAGGCATTGCCGCGCCGCCTGACTGCGGGGAACGATCGCCGCACGATCCAAGGTTTAGAACGATGCCAACACATGTCGAAACGTAGGGTGCACCCTAAACCCTAAACCCTAAACCCTAAACCCTAAACCCTAAACCCTAAACCCTAAACCCTAAACCCTAAACCCTAAACCCTAAATGCCTAAACGCCAAACCCTAAACCCTAAACCCTAAACCCCAAACCCTAAACGCTAAACGCTAAACGCCAAGCCCTTAAACCCTTAACCCTAAACCCTAGACCCTAAACCCTAAACCCTAAACAGCAGCCTACAGCCGCTCTGATCTACGGACGCTTCGTTCGCGACACCTGATACGATTGCAGCCCCAACAATTTTCAACTCGAAACCTTGTGCTCCACATCAGCAACAGTTGTTTGGGCAAAAACGGCTCGCAGGGCAGGCAGCCTCAGCAAGCTGACCACTAAGAACAGATGTAGACGCAAGTGTGTGTGCCGACAGAAAGACTGAGGGTTCACAGCAGCCGAGTTACGCGACCGAAAAACAGCAGAACTGCGGTGGCCAATTTCATGTTGCAGGGGTCAAAAAGGAAATCGCAGCTCAGCGTACGTCACGTCGACAAGCGCTCACCAAGAGTACGGGCAACGGGCTCCAAAACCGAAAGTAGACGGACACGGCACGTGCCAGCGGCGCCAGTCGCCACAACGCGGGCCTGCGCCACTGGCCGGCGCTCGAAGCGACGACAGATCACCTTGCCACATTCCCATCTTGTACTTTTGTAATTGGCCAATAAAAATGGACCGTGGACAGCAAACTGTCTCCAATCTGTGTGAGCAAAAGACGGACCCTGAAAAACGAAGCATATCACATCCACTCCTGTTTTCCGCGGTGTGGCATTCCGGTCACAAAATGTCGTAAGAGCGAGTTTGCCTTTTTGCACTATGCCTGCCGGCTGTCTTGCTGCCACGAAAGTACACCCCGAGCAGATGCCACGCTCTGAGCATCACTCTGGTTTTTCTTTGTTGCGGCCTATTTGGGTTGGCTTCGGTTTGCACAGAAACAAAAGCATCGCGACTGTGCCTGCGCACTGTTTACTGTCATCTCATCTACAGTTTCCTGGAGGGAGTAGTATTTCAACGCGCATGCATTCCAGCCGGCCCTTGCAGCATCATGCACCAATGAACTGCCGCTACGTGGCACATCATGGAGTTGACGGCGTCCTGATCGAGCAGAACTCTTGGCCCAAAAATGCTGAAATGTGTGGCGACGCTGGGTATGGCGAGAGCATCTGGTTCTGCAGTATGCAGCCAAATCCCTCACTGTTAGTGACACTCACTGACGCGAGGTGCACTGCGTTCCCCGCTGACAAACACGCCTCCGTCCACAGTGCTAAAAGCGCAGCTGACCCAGGCCCATCAAGATACATACGCGCCGCCCCAAATCTGTTCGTTGCGGCAGCGGAAGGCCATGATCTCAATGCAAGCAGTGCCTCCGCAGAAGTGAAACCGCCCCAGCCGGCTCTCAGCTGGCTTCATGGCAGTAACAAACAGGTTAGTTGAGTTCCCTATAGCTTGAACTCAGCGCATCCGTCCATGCCGCCCCAGTATGCCGCTGGGGCAGTGTGCGCTCCGTGGATCGCAAGCCTAATCCGCCTTGCACGGCAGGCAAGGTGGCGATGGGCCAGGCGTCGCGCGAGCCTTCGTTGCACAATCCCAAGTCCCAGTGGCTGTTTGGGCATGTGGTCGCATGCCGTAGCGACGCAGGCTGGCCGAAATTACCGCGCTCTTCCCACCGGGAGGGGTGCCTTCACCATACTGGCAACGTGAAGGAGTGGAAGGGGCAAGTATCACCCTTATTCTGACCGTTGATTGTTTTTTCTCCCCACGCATCTTTTTCTTCGCCACCGTCCCATTCACGGTTACGACGACGGCCGGAGTGGCAGGAGCTTGCCCCGACGGCCGCAGCCAGGTCCAGTACGCGCTCAAGGCTGGGCCAGGGCCGGCGACGCTCGCTGGGCTCGTAGGCGGGCCCTTGCGCGAGTTCGGGGCTAGGCAGTCAATTTTTTTGTCCGTCCCGGCCTGCCGAAGCTGCCGGAGGCAGCGATGCCGCCAAGCCAGTCGCATCACCAGTCAGTCGGACCAGTCAGCAGCGAGCTTGAGGCCCCCACAGTAAGTAAGCAAGCTAGTACGCAAGTAAGTAAGTAAGTAAGTAAGCAAGTCCTGCATGCCATCAGGCAGCCTCTTGGAGGAGCCGGCAAATAGAACACAACTTTACACGGTGTCAGACTGTGATTGAGCATCAAGTCACGTCAGTCTCGGAATCATTCTAAACATCGACGGCTTTTGACCAATCATCCTTGTTCAACGCTGTACAAAATCCACGAATGCATCCCGTGCAACGTCAAAGAAATTTGTTACGTGCTCAGATTTCAACTGGTAGTTCCATCGTGCGAAAGCTTCGAGCTGTGGCCCCCACAACCGATCCATATGCAGTTCCAGCGCAACCAGCATATCGTAGTTTCAGCACAGGAAAGCTGGCCAAGCCCGTCGCAGCGTGGCATCTCCACGGGGACTGCTAGCATTTGGGCGCCTGACCCCCATCCCGCCAAGCCACCGGAGCGCCACCATCTCGTGTCGCAGCACCATCAGCTTGCAACATCACTTGTGTCGTAGCACCATCAACTTGTGTCAGCTCTACGTGGTCAGTCAGCAGTCATGCCACGGGGGGTGTGCAAACTATGTCTCAGAGCCCGTGAGGTCTTCCCCAAGTCCCTGAACTTTTTGAGGTCCAAAAAGGTTCTCGAGTGAATTTTGCGTTCGTGCCCGCATCAATATGATTCAGGCACCAAACCCTGACTCCAAATCATGTACGTTGTGCTCGCCAGTGGCTGGGCGCTGGGGCCTCGCCAGCATTCGCCGGTTTTAGCAAGGAACTCATTGCGACAGAGAAAAGGCCCCTCCATCGGAGAACCCACGCTGCCTCGGTGAAGGCTCGCAGCGCCGCGGAGGCCCCGCCCGAGCAAGGAGGCCGAGGAAGCTGCCAGCTTCCGAGTCCCAGCTGTCCCGATTTCGACCCCGAAAACGAGTATGACGAGTTCGGGCTACGCTTGGTGGATTTCAGCGCCCTGGCTTGTGGCAGCCCCCTCGTGCGTCACAGGGCGGACGAGGGTAGCATCCACCGCGAGCTGCGCTCCATGCCCGAAATTGAGTCCGTTGCATACGACCTCAATGCGACGTGCACCATGGACAGGCACATCGATTTTCATGGCCGACAAGGCGACGTTGCGCGCCACAGGCGCACCTCAGGGGAAGGCGCAGCTGCCGCAGGAATGCACGTCAGGGACAGCAACTTCAGCCCACCGTGAACTTTCTGGTTGCGCAGGGTCCCGTTTGCCCGGGGTCCAGTTCGTGCTGGCTGCAGGATGATGCAGGACGTGCGTGACGGACCAGCGCACTTGTCGCAAGCATGGACGGCACCACACTGCCAGCCACGCAAAGAGAGACTCGGGCGGCTCGTCGTTGCGCGAGCTCAGGTCCGGCGGGACGCGCTCGGTATCACCTCTTTTGCAGCAAGGTACGCTGTGAGTATTGATGGCAAGGGCAAGGGGCCGGCTGCTTGCCCGGAGGGATATCAATGTTCGGTCAGCAGCCGACAGCGCGCGAGCCTGTCCGCTAGGCCCAAGAGCGTGAGGAGACCGCGGGTGCAGGCGGCGTCATGCGAGGCAGCATATTCTGCCGTCGCAACCGAGCGCGAATCGCCGTCGCACGCACGTATCGCTGCTGAAACGCGGCAACCAATCCCCAACCCAGGCAGTGGTATCAGCATCTCCTGAGGGGCTGACAGGTGGCGTCCAGGCCAAGTCGCAGACGGGCGATAGCACACTGGAACGGGCCTCATACTGCGTATGCCCAGGCCCACGCGCAGCCCTGTCTCATCCTGTTTCTCTGATGGGGCAGACGCAGTATGCACGCTCCATCACGCTCTCGTGGCGTTGCAACTTGCAACTCGGCCCCGTGTGCATCGCCGAGTCGCTGCGCAGCTATGGCGTGCACGTTGGCCGCAAACGCGATACAGCTGTAGCCTCTAGGCGCGACCGCACATTCGCACCTAAAGCCCCTCAGGCGCCATTTTTGCACAGACACGGCGGTGGCCCAGCGGTCAGTTTCGTGCATGTCATTCATTGCACATGTGCACATCACGACACAAGTCTGGGGATCTGCCAGCGCCGCGGCGGCCGCCTCGTCTGCAGCGGGCCATTTGTCACAGCTGCCTTGCATTTCTTATAT